GATAAGGAGTAGTGATAAGGATTGGAGATAAGGCTTGGCGCTTTGGCGGGAATGTTACAAGTTTGAGCGTCTAGCAATCCATCACGAACATTGTAAATGGATACGATCTCCAGGATCTCTATGCGTTATTCCTTTTCTATACCAAAAGTCGTTGAAATCGTTAAAAAGTGTAGAACTGATATGTGTATTTGATTGTCTAGCTATCAGTTATCAAATCACATAAGTAAGCAATATGAGAAGCGTATATTATCAGGTATGCACTCCACCTGCGGTGGATTGCGGACCCCGTTAGTTGCGCAGATAAGTGAATAATCAAAAATATAGATTCTAGTTGGCCCATGAGACTCGCTGAATTTGGGGGTACCGATTTTTGAATAAGAGTCGTTTCAATCATAAAAGTAGCGACAGTCGTAAGATGGAAGTTTAGGATTTGTGATAAGAATTAGTGATATGGATTGGAGATAAGGCTTGGCGCTTTGGCGTAGATGTTTAAAAGTTTGAGCGTCTAGCAATCCGTCACGAACATTGTAAGTAGATACGATCTCCAGGATCTCTAGACGTTTGTCATCTGCTTTTGGTTGTTGAAATCGTTAAAAAGTGTAGAGTCGATATGTGTATTTGATTGTCTAGCTATCAGTCATCAAATCACATAGGTAAGCAATATGCGAAGCGTATATCATCAGGTATGCACTCCACCTGCGGTGGATTGCGGACCCCGTTAGTTGCGTAGATAAGTGAATAATCAAAAATATAGATTCTATTTGACCTATATGAGACTCGCTGAATGTGGGGTCATCGATTTTGGAAGTATTGTTCGTGTCTGTTGTAAATCGAATGTTGGATAATTGTTCTAAGGGATAGGGTTTATGATAACGCGTTTAGTGATATGATTTTAAGATTGAAATAATGCTTGGCGCATTGGCGGGAATGTTTAAAAGTTTGAGTGTCTAGCTATCAGTCACCAACGGTGTAAGTACGCATAATATTTTACATCTCTTTTTTGTGGCTTTTGGGTCTGTCCAAAAGTTTGAAGTCAAAAAAAACCATACACCTAATCGATTTTCTAAACTATCAGCGCACTTTGTTCAACGTGTAATTATGATCCATAGGGCACCAGCCCTTTTTGTAATTAAAAAAGTTTACGTCGATAATTCGATTATTAAGTCGATATTTATGAAGTTCATTAATTTACAAAAAATAGAAAATCCCAAAGTATAATATATATAAATGTGTGTTTATTGTATGATAAATGATAAAAACATATTATAAACACAATTAGGTGTACTAATAAATTACACTGTCTTAATGTACCTAATTAATTTCAAGAAAATAAATATACGATCATTGTTATGATCAGATCAAGGCTATTTACTGCATTTAATTAACAAAATTAATCATAGGGATGTCAATATTAAAATCCATTTGAATATGGTACATTGCCATTTTTGTTGTTTTGTTAAAAAATATAATATGTTTAGTATACATACCTATCTATTACATCGTTTTTAATAAAATTATAATTTAACTTAAACTAACTTGCAGTATGTCATTGATACTATTAAAATTATTTATTTATTTTAGCAAATTGTGTGCGTAATTGAACAGTTTGATTTAGTATGGTATGTATAATATATTGAATCAAAAACAGTAGGTAAACAATATTTTAAACAGAAAGTCGGGTGTTAGTTACATACAGCGCCGGATCATAGCTTTTTAACACCCGGGGAAAATTAAAAAAATACGCCCATCTCAGGGAGATGACCAGAATTAGTATTTTTTTTTTACGAAAAATCAAGCACACTCACAGTACTGCGAGGAACTGAGGACCAACATTTACAAAACCTTTCCAAATGTACTGCAGGACCAATCATTTATTTACCACTTATAATTTGAACGATTTTAACTTGAAAATGAAACATTTTAAATTTTAAACTATTCACGTAATATAGTTTTAGAAGCACTTCTTAATGGTGTATTTAAAGCTAAAATCTGTATTCTGTGGTCAATATTTCTAAGTTCCAGGTTTAGAATAAATAATATTGATAATAATAACATGTATGAATTATTTATTAACAAATCTAAATTAGGTAGGTATCCATTGCTTACTTTTAATATAGGATGCTTTATGTAAAAGAACAATATTTAATTTACAACATACCTATCAATATTATACATTTTCATTTTTAATATTTGTTACAATCAAAACTTAAAAATATGTACCTAGGTACGGAATAAATACAATGAAACAAAAATGTAATTATGTACTGAAAATTGTAATATAATGATTATAACACGACAAAGAAATATTTATCATGGATTATCACTTACGGATTGAATGTAGATACCTATATACTAAAATAACTACATTCTACATTCTACATTTTAAATATTTCCAGAATAATAAGGACCTGGTTGTCTGTTTGACATCTTGAACTATAAAAATAATTTAGACAAAAAACACAGTTTATAATAAAAAAAAAAAAACGAACCAAATAGAATATAAATTTCCTTTTAAATTATTTTAATATAATATGTAAAACATAATATTCAATCTGTCTTGGGCTACAATCAATAGGATAATATTTTTGTTTTAATTATTTAATTATGTTGTACTTTTGTAGTATCAAGTTTATCAAGTAAATTAATAGTTGTATACTTGTACACATTTAAAAAGCAAACACAAATGACAAATTATATTCCATTTTGTGTTCTGTTTCATTTATCTAGTGGCCATGGTGATATTTATAAAAAAGTTCAGTTTATAAAAAGACATTAATTGTTAAATACAAAGACTTTTATAAGCCTGGGTACAAACATGTAATTTAATAAATAATCTGAAAACAATTAAATTATTAGTACCTAAGTAACATTTTATGTAGTACATAATTTTATGCAGTACCTACCTATTTGGAAAAATATAGGTATAGTTGTTAATTTAAAATCACATAACAATGAATTACAATTAATAGTGCGAAAAAAAATAAATATATAATATAAATCAATGTTATTAGTTATTACCTACTAATCTCGATTAAAAATAAAATTATTTTATTTTATTCCCATACCCAATATTACACATTTCCTGTGAAATATTATTTTGTACTTAGTTTTGACTTTTGTTTTAAAGTCCATTTTCAATTTTCAATTTACAAAATATTTAAAACCTTAAAAATACGCCCACGAAAATTATACGCCCGGGGATAAATCCCCGACTTCCCCCCTAGATCCGGCCCTGGTTACATAGTTGAAATAGTAGTACCTACAATGATAAGATATATTTTGTAGAAACAAATGAATTGACAGTGATTGTAAAACCGTAATGAATACATAAAACCGTGTTTAGAATAATTAGTTAAAAATGCAATAGTTAAGTTACAATGATGAACGTTCATAACATTATATTTGTTCTATATAAACAATTGAATAGTTAAATCACAATAATACACATTATAATATAATTGATTACATACAGACATGTAATTATTAAAAAATGCAATACTTAAATTACAATATGTAGGTACGTGACATTATATTTTTTGTTAAATGAACAATTTAGTAGTTAAATTACAAATTATTTGTTATATAAGCAATTCAACAGTTAAATTACAAATTATGTACATGACATTATACTTTTTTTAAATAAACGATTAATTAGGTAAAAATACAATAGTTAAAATACAACGATGAAAGTACATGACATAATATAATGGTATAAAAATATAGTAGTAAAAATATTCATACAGCAAAGTAATATTATTAAAATTTAAAAAAACCAGTAACTATAATTTGTAAGATAACGTAAGAAAATCGAAAAAAAACATGTTTACCCACGTAAATACATATTATATTATAATACATAAAAAATGATATATTGTAGATTAATTTAAAAAAAATTTAACGTAGAAGAAATATTGTAATTTTTATACACAAAGTAAAGTTAAAATAATAATAATAGTAAAGAGAAAAGAACGGAAATTTGTAAAATTACGGAAAAAAAATGCAAAAAAAGTCGGCATTCGGGCGGCCGTGTAAACCTTATGGCATTGGCGGTATTAACGCCCGGACGGCGTACGACGGATTTGAACCCGGGACCTACGTAACTTCTACCTAACGCCTAACCTACTCGGACACAAATTGAGATGTGAATTACCGTCGAAACATCAACTCTTAAGCCGTGCGTCTACGGAGCGACGTAAGCCGATATATTCGATGTACATCGATGTAATCGCATATAATTCGCTTGTAATACGCGCATCTCCCATATATATATTTAACGGAGCGAGTGAAAAGCGTTTTCCGTTAATAATTATTAAATCAATAGGCAAAAATTAAATTATACACGTATATACATGTATATTGTATATATACGCGTACGGTCGGTCGTAATTTCTAAACGCGATTGCGAAGCGAACCTACCGATTTCGTAAGAAAAGCGTATATATACGGCTTTAGAAAGACGTCAACTACACGATTCGGGCACGAACGGCGTGCAAAAAGACGAAACTGTTGGAGAAAACGAAAAAAATCGGCAAAAAAGTCCGGCCGGGAGCGTATTTTGCGATCGACATTGCGACGGCTACGGACGGCGCACGGATATAAACCGCCCACCGGCGGCTTTGAGAGATCGCGAGCCACGCGAATCGAGTATAAAAAAGGGCGAAAAACGATAGAAAACGGTCGAAATCGTGTGAAAAGAGTAAATGTTCGAAAATTTCAAAAATCGGCGGAATGATAAGAAAAGAAGTGATAACGCGGTGCCGGGCGACGGAATTTTCTGATTGGCGTTCCTTATTTGCTGCGTCGCGCCTGTCGGACAAAACTGGGGACTAACCTCGTTTTATAATATAAGAGATTATATAGAAGATTATATTATGATTTATGATTAAATTCAACTTTAGACTTTAGAGTTGAATAGCAAAATAATATTAATACCATTTATTAAGTAAACATCATTATTTTGTTGACTGTACACTGTATTATACAATGCAACATTATTCATGATGAGCTCTTGTTGTACGTCGAATGAATTGCAGACATTAGATCCTTGGCCACAGTTGACAACGGATGCTGTTGATTTTCAATTTGAAAACAATTTTGCCACCGACCAGCAGTCGTTCCAACCACTGCCCGACAAAGAAGAATACTTACAGCGTTTGGGTAAGTCGTCTCTCTGCCATACAGTATACATATTATTTAAGTTGGGTATCATTATTATATAATACAAATATTAGTGTTATGTAATCATTGTATCAGATTACAACATAAACTGGTTATTTGATATTGATACCATCAATGTTCATTGTTCAATAGAGCATAAACTGAAAAGACTGAAGAACGGTTCACAGTCCGATAGTACAAAACGCCGCCAAATTGTCGATCAACTGTGTGAAGCTCGCAAGTCATGTTTGGAATATTTGGTGGATTCAGATAATATAGTATTTGAAAACGAGCAGACAGTCACTCAACCTTCAGGTCTTTCCACTTGGATCAATCCAGAACAGCCATTGTCTACAACTGAAACCCAACGACTAATTGAACAAGATACTCAAGATGAATGAGTTTTGGAGTCGTCGTACTTGTGTCATTCTTACTGGCGCTAGCAAAGGAATAGGACAGTGTTTGGCTGTAGAAATTGGTAAACTATTGGTCCCAGAGTCAACCATTGTTCTTATGGCTAGAGATACAAATGGTCTGGAAAAAACCAAAGAAATGGTGAACAAAGAAAACAGTGACATTTTAGTAGAAGTAAGTATATAGAACAAATAAGTATTTTTTTTTATCACCTATTAAATTCAACATTTTATTGGTGTTCTAGTATTATAGCGTGGATTTATATAACTCTAACGCAACAATGTTTGAAAAAATTTTTGAACCTATCGATTCGACAAAGTACGAATTATTTTTATTAATTCATAATGCTGGGTCAGTTGGTAATCTGGATCATCTTGCAGCTGACATGAATGATCCTGACGAGTGGAACAAGTAATTATTCATTTTTTTTTTAATTAGTCAAGATGGTGCTACACCTACATCTATCTTACAAGCGCATAACATAGTAAATTGTACGTTCAACAGATCATGTTTAGCTCTGTTAGTTTAAAAAAAAAATTAGAATGAATAACCTCTTATAAAATTTAAAGGTAAGATTGTTATCTATTAAACCTATGTTTTTTTAGATTTTAATTTTAAAACAAGTTATGAGTAATTCAAAATTCACAAATAATTTACAATTTTAAAGTACTCATAACTTGCTTTAAAATTGAAATATTAAAAAACTGGATGAGGTTCACTAGATAATATTCTTACTTCTAAATTTTATAAGAGGTTAATTCACTCTAATTTTTAAACCAACAGAGCTAAACGTTATCTGTAGAGAGTGCAATTTGCTATGTTATGTGTTTGCAAGATGAAGAGAACACATTCGGGTGTAGCGCCCTCTTAAATATTGAAATAACAAAATCAATTAATTTAAAGGATATTTATATAGTAAATATTGCTAACCCCGTGCATTTTGTTTTGCATAAAAATACCAATTTTACATGATTATAACTGTCCAATTTGTTGTTTAATATCCGGTGTAATGGTCTTCAAAACTTAAAAATGTTCTATTCTTTCTATTATAATCTGTAACCAATGATAGCAATTATTTATATACAACAAAAAAATGTTCAATTTCCATTGACCATCGTGAATCTCAATATATTTGTGCAAGCACCACTTTAAAATGCAAATTTTGGAAAATCCTTTCTTATTGCACATCTAAATCATTAGAGATACCACTATTCCAAATTTCAAGTTCTTACATTTTGTAGTTTATAAGATGTAGCAATGAGTGATTGAGTGGTATTTGGCTTTTATACATATAGATTTAAGTATGTTCGACTTAATTAGATTATAAAATACACAATAATCAATGTTTTTAAATTTAAAATATTTTATTTTTCCAGATACATGTTGTTGAATTTATATTCAGTAACCTGTTTAACAAGTGTATTTTTATCTAAGTTCAATTCAGATACTGCTGAAAGATGCATTGTCAACATTACTTCATTATTAGGGATTGAACCATTTAAATCAGTTGGATATTATTGTGTTGGAAAAGCTAGTAGAGAAATGTATTTCCGTGTATTGGCTTTAGAAAATCCTACATTGAACATTCTTAGCTATTCTCCAGGTAATAAAATAGTTTTAAAAATATTTTTACTTCTAATTAAATTAAATCATTTGCACTTTATTTTAGGCCCCGTGTTGACCGATATGTATACAAATATTAGTTTGAATTCAAAAGATGAAGTTGTACGTGAACAATTTACAAATGGACAGCAAAAACAATATATTGTGAAAGTAGAAGACACTTGCCAAAAACTAGTGAACACATTAGCTATGAGAAGTTATAAAACTGGTGGTAGAGTTGATTATTATGATAGATAATTGCATTCCATATGAAGCTGTTTTTTAACATTTTATGTATTATTGTTTTTAAGCTAATTTTATTATATGTTTCATTTATTATATCATTTATTATTTTATTATTTAATTTAAAAATATATTATTATACACTACGTACCATTAAATCTTTATAGTTCAGTTTTCTTACACTGATAAAATAAAAGCATTTTCTGTATGATTTATTGAACTGAACTCTAGCCCCTCCACCCCTTCAAATGTGAAGCACTATTTGTGCCTATGACTTATTATACTATACTCCATCCCACAAGAGAACATGCCACGGCCCAACCAAAATTTGTTTTTCTGCGCATCCCTACACAACACCCTGCCATAGAGGAACCGGTTTTGATAGCAGGTTAACCTGGGGGAGGGGGGGCATGTGCAGAACCTGCATGTTCTCTCGTGGAACAGAGTATAGTATATCTTAAATGTACTTGGTAAAAAAGACTGATTTATTAACAATTATTTATTATTGATACAGTGATTACAGTGGTTAGCAGAATCTTGGTCCAATTTTTAAGGTCCAGATAATGTTTAGTTTAAACAAATTGTAGCAAATCAGAACAGTAGCTACTAGCTAAAGAAATGCTTAACTCGAAATATTAAAACAAGCTATAGAAAATGTTCATAATGAAGAAGTATATAATATACTTTTCTAAGTTCTGATAAAAAATTGTTAAGTAGGTAATTTCTAAAATTGACACTACTTATATGATTTGGTAAGTAAATTTAATTTAACACTACATGACAGTAACACCGAACCCATGTATTAGGTGTGGCAGCCGCCACATCTATTTTATGGGGTGGATAATTAAATTGGTGGATAATCGTAATCCTATGTATAAAAATATATTGTACAAACATAAGAAAGATGACTTCCTAGTGTGTCATAGCGTGCAGTGTGTACTGTGTGATAATATTAGAAATAGCCAATAACTAATTAATAGTTTTACCATTAATAAATAAATTCTAGTATTTATATTCAATAGTATTGTGTAAAAAGTCAAAATCTCTGATAATACAGTACATTTTCCTTTTTAACTCAAAAATGAATAACCGTAAAAACTTTATATTTTAACAACATTTTTATGTAATATATTATGAGCATTTTCCTTACAAGATATATCCTACAAGATATTCAAAATATATTGACTCTTTTTGAGCTTTAAACATTTTCATTTTTAATTTTCAATGTGGGTCTAAAGTTAAAAATTTAACGAAATTCATTAAAATTGAGAAATTTAAAAAATGTTCGACTGTCTACTAAAGAAAAGTTAAAAGAAAACCTTACCAGAAAGTCACATTAATTTGTGTTGAGACTTAGCTAGATAAATTTATATATAAATTGAATGCTGTATGCTGTCAAAAAATCATTGGGGTTAAAAAAAATGTTACCCCCTCTCGAATAAGTTATTGGGGCATCATTGAAAACTATACCACCGTCCTTACAAAACTTAAACTTTAGGTTATCTACATCGTGGGCTACATCTTATAAACTCATATTATGAAATCCCTACATGACGAGCAAACAATTTTCTTTCATGAAATTGTTTTTGTAGAAAAGTCTGATTGTTGCACAGAATATCCCTGCACACTGCATTACCTTTGCCGACTTGTGATCGATGAACGCAGAGGCGTGACAAAAATAGTATGTGTGGCTCGTGCGGGAAGGCAATGTCAGTCTTTAGTGAAATGCAGCCCATGCCACCGACGACTGCAGGTCGCACTGATATTGCTCACTTCAGCCCTTGCCACACAATATAGTATATACTAATATTAAATATACTATTGCATGTACCTACAAGTAATACCTGAAGTACCTTCAATGACGTTATATAGGTACCTATTATTATTATTATTTTTTTATTATTTCACCCGCGGCAATTTAGTCCATTTATTATACGTATAGAAGGTACATTTTTAATTATTAAAATTAGAGCTCTAACTAATTTGCAGACAAAAAACAATAATTTTATTTTAAGTAATATTATGATAAGTGGGGCTTATGAATTCTATACTTTTAAATATTTTTATCTACGACCAATTTTCAAAATATATTATTTATATAGGTACAATAATATAACATTTAACACCGGTGACTTTATAAATAGTAAAAATTATTTTGGTACGATAATCATAATAGACAACTCAGAAAAAAAATACACGTTACCATGGCCACAATTATAATTAAAAAACCATTAATTTTTTTTGTTTATTATTTATTTAATTTGAACAGAATTTGAATTACTAAATAACCAACTGCACTGTTTGTTAGGATAAGTAGTTGCCTCAGATTGATATGACACATTCCATACAACTGAAAATGGAAGTGATCGTGCAATCTTCATAGTAAAAAGAACTTGATCTAAATAAAAATAAAAATAATTTTAATTTTAAATGAATAAAATATAGTTAGTATAGTAATACATTTATACCTGACGTTTAATTCTAGGGTTTTTTTCGATCACGGATCGTTGATGTAAGACAAGACTCATCCGATTTATCTGAAAATACAAAATATAAGTTATTTGAATACAAGGTTCCTGATATATTACTTAAATATAAGTTTGAAAATATTAAAAATACATAGTTAAAAATGTATCATGTATGAAATGTTATTTATTTTTAAATGTTTTTAACTTGTATACCTAAGGATTGAAAACCTACAACAAGGTTCCACTAGTGGCGTATTTAGGAATTTGTCATGGGGAGGGTCCAGATAATTTTCAGAACACAGAGCCACGGGGGACGAAGCCCCCCACACCACCCATTTATTTACTCTTTATTAAATAAAATATACCATATTTATAAGACGATATAAAATTGTCAAGTTTTTAATTATTAAATAATAAAGGTATGTACAAAACAAATTTAAAAAAAGGCGGGTGAGTGGATGTCACTCTGCTGCTGTACAGTAGGTTACAAGTGGGTTAATGTATAATGGATTGTATTAAACTTGAACTCAATGATATAATATAATATCATTGTACAATAATTTTATAAGAAAAACGATTCTGAGCGAAGACGGTTTGTCAGTCTGGATATTTTATATTGTTATTATTTATTATAGCCTGTTAGTTGAATTAATAATGAAATACTTTTTATTTTTTATTTTTTTCTATGGTGATAGACAAAGTGTTAGAAATTAAAATCCCATTTTTAGCGGTTTTTCGTAATTTTTTGGTGGTTTTTACAGTGGCATTAAATAACTATTGAGAAAATCAAAAAATGACCTCTTAAGATAGTAATCTTGATCCAATTTTCTAAAAGATAAGTTAAGTACTATATGTCTATACATGTTGAAATCGAAGCACTCCTTCTAGAGATTCTAGAAGGTAGGCATTTAACATTAAAAAATATATATTTTGAAACAAAGATATAACTGTTACCTATGTGTGAACTAATTTTGCAAACTTTTTTTGATATATATTATTTATTTTTGTTTATTATTTATTTAATTTGAACAGAATTTGAATTGATAAATAACCAATTGCACTGTTTGTTAGGATAAGTAGTTGCCTTAGATTGATATGACACATTCCATACAACTGAAAATGGAAGTGTTCGTGCAATCTTCGTAGTAAAAAGAACTTGATCTAAATAAAAATAAAAATAATTTTAATTTTAAATGAATAAAATATAGTTAGTATAGTAATACATTTATACCTGACGTTTAATTCTAGGGTTTTTTTCGATCACGGATCATTGATGTAAGACAAGGCTCATCCGATTTATCTGAAAATACAAAATATAAGTTATTTGAATACAAGGTTCCTGATATATTACTTAAATAGAAGTTGAAAAATATTACAAATACAAAGGTACAATTTTTTTTTTATAAGCATTTAAAGTTCTATTTTCGACAACATTTATCAAATTTAAAATTAAAAAAGATTTTATAGTTAAAAATGTATCATGTATGAAATGTTGAACTTGTATATCTAAGGATTGAAAACCTACAACAAGGTTCCACGTAAGTAGGTTATTATGTAACAAAAAAATCTCAAAAGTATCAATCAAAAAGTTTTTTTTTTGTATAGTTATTTGTTAAAATTTGGAGGAAATTACGATAAATAACCAAGAATAACGATTTTATTTATTTTGTTGTAATTTTATAATATTAATTCATCATTACCGGCTCGCGGCTACCGTTTAATTAATAATAATTAATAACTAAAAACAATATAAATATAATATAAAATATACACACTGACAAACCGTCACCGCTCAGAATTGTTTTTCGTATAGTGTATAGTGTATACAATGATAATATTATATCATTGAATTCAAATTTAATATCACCCATTATATACAGTGACCAGCTCATAACCTAAAGTACAGCAAAGCAGAGCGACATCCACTTACCCACCTTTTTATTCATCGACGTTACTAAATACTAAGTATTGAGATTAGAATTTTGGATAGCAAATAATTAATTAAACAAATCTATTTAAAATAACAATTTCGAATAATATACAGTATAAATTATACTATTATATTATATATAATTAGGTACCTCTTTTTCCGTGGAGTGACCAATCATGTATAATATTAGAACCTTAGTGGCACAGGTTAATGATGATGCGAGAGGATATACCAATAAAGTTTCATATTCTCTAGGAAATAATACTTGGCAGTATATCAAATCGATTATTTCTGCGACATTTGCTGCAATAAAAACAACTATGGCCGTCAAACCATGTATTGATTTATTGACATCGTTTAAGCATTCTACAATTTCCAAGTACATATCTCTGAATGAACTTAGGCATGATCTTCTTTCGGGAATTTGTTCATTTATCGTGTACACTAGCCACCGTGTATATAATATTAGTAATATATATTCGTTAAATACAGCGATTTTGCAAGTATTTAAAACCGTCATAATGATCTGAAAATATGTGATAGTATGATACAATCATATTACAAATAAAGCTATTTATATTTAGTTAAATTTTGGAATGAATTATTCTGTTGCCTATTATGAAAGAAGAATGGCTCGGCGTGAATGCGTGATGCAGTGGCTGAAATTAATCCCGCTACCTGATTGAGAGTAAGCAACAGCCGCTGTCACTAGTTCTCGGATGGGTGACCACCTGAGTTCGTAGTGAGCCAAAACCTTGCTACACAAACACTTGTTCCTAATCGACCAAATATAAACAATCCCAACTCTACTCTACTAACCTTACAACACCCAATGGATTATGTTACCACCGGTTAATTAATTGAAAAAAAAAACATGAATATTATCTTTGTTTTAAAACTATTTATTACGATGTTTAAATGACATTTTTTAGGCAAGCTTTTATGTATTTCAATTTGATGATTATCATTACTCAATTATTAATTTAAATATTCTGTTGGTCTTCCACCGATAATATATTTAACTTTAAGCTTGATAATTGAGTAACTGTTTTCTTAGAGCTGTACCAATATAAAATTTACAATGCTGTGTTGTACACGTGTAACATGGAAACAATAGAACCGGGTACGGCATAGGTACTCTTAAAATATAAAGGAGTAGACTAGGAATACCCGGAAAGAAACAATATTTTAATTATCTATATAAACTGTAAATAAATAAATAAATAATAATAAAAACTAGTTATAAACTTATAAAATATTTATAAATGTTATAATGTTACCATGTCTTGTATTAAAAAATATTGGTTCACACTTATCATCCATAAGGTTGGAACCATAACTCTCATGACATTAACAATAATTCCAATAATGAAAATCCAATTCATTTTTATTTTTATCGGGCCGACCACACTCAGGCGTATCAATTTCTCATGGATTGTTTCAAGTTTTGTCAATACAATGGATAGTTGACTATCAAAAAAAAAGCGCCAGATTTGAGATACGAATTTTCCAATGAAAATTAATTCAAAACAACAGATCATTATTATAGATGTTAGTTCAGACATTTCCGAATCAGTTTTCATTGCCTGTAAAATAAAATGTCATCTGTACAATTTACAATTATTACACCATATTATATATATTACAAGCTAGCATCAAATCAAATTATTGAACATTGCCTACCAGGGTGGCTGAGTTCTACTTACTGTTGCCGGGTACACCAAAAGGAGTTAAACAATCATAATTTTTTTAAGATTTGCGATTTTTCAAGTGCAACGGAGTGCACGGGTTCAGCTAGTAATACATATTATAATCTTTTTATTATTTTTATTTGTTCTTTAAGAAAGAAAGCAAACCCACTTAACATGTTCATTAGAAATTAGTTTTAACAAATTAAGAATTTATAAAGTGTACTCAAAAAATAATGGATAATGATATTAGTACCATGACATTACAGTGAATGTAGTTAATTACGTCATGCATTTTCAATTCATCATTTATGTTTTATCAAACAAAACTATTACAAAAAAAAATATATATAGTAGGTATCATACCATTAGGTTGATTTTGTAGAAGGCATCTAAACCAGCATAAATTATTAAACATCGCAAGACATACAACGTCAGGGTCGTCTTAAAATTGCCCTGGTTGAATTTTATACTACCAATACCACAAATTAAAAAACATTTGTTTAAATTATTTAACACTGATCTCACACTCATAATGAAATTTATTTACAAATTAAATATAAAAAAAAGGTTAATATAGTTGTTAGTAACTTTAGACTTATTTAGTTTATTTATTTATCAACTGATTGTAACTGAATAAAAAATATTGTTTTAATGTATTCGCGAATGCATTTTCATATTATGTGTAGGTTAGGTTAGTGAATTGAAAATAATTTTTACGAAGAATCGTTGAAGTTAAAAACAAATATAATTTAGTTAATTGTATGCTCAATATACTCAATTTATATATTATTCAATCCAATTTGTTATATTATATTATATTTGGTGTAGGCTGCATGTACATGTTGATAACTTGAGTGTTATAGATAGGTAGTTTATTGGTATAATATACGTCAAACTATTTACAAAAATAATGTTTTTAAAATTATATTACATTATTACGTTTTAAATTCATTTTCTACATAAAAATATTTATATTTGAAAAAATTGTGTTAATGTGAAAAATGTCATTATGTATAAAAAATGTAATAATATATTCTAAAAGTTTAATATACCTATCCACGAATAGTATTTTGACATTACAATGATATAATAAAAATCATTATTCTTGGTTTTAATATCTAATTTTATCCAAATTTGAACTTATAATGACTGAAAAATATAATTGTGTGTCTGTGTTTATATAATATGTTTTAGATTGTTTGGTTATAGTATGGACTATTTATGAGAACCGTTGTTTAAAATTATCAATCCTTAGCTATAAAAGTTAAACATTTTATAAATTTTCAACTACTAAATTTAGTAAAAATCCAAACTTTAAATACTTAAAAAAAAATCTGCCCTATGGTTCTTCAATATTTTTCAAATTCTGTTATAAAAACTTTTAAGGAACTTTGTATTAAATTTTCAAGCTTTTAGACTTAACGAATAAAATGTTATTGTTACAGTAGGTTAAAAGTGGGTCACTGTAAATGGATGGTATTAAATTTGACTTCATTGATATAATATCATTGTATAAGAAAAACGATTCTGAGCGAAAACGGTTAGTCAGCCTATGATATTACGAAGTATATTTTATGATACTAAGGTGAATATAAAGTAATTTAAATATAACCTATTTACTTGGAATCATTAGCTATAAAAGTTGAATATTTTATAAATTTTTAAATACAAAATTATTAATTTAAAATGTGATAAATTGTGTCAACATTTGAACTTTAAAGTTTAAATGCTTATAAAAAAAAATTGTGCCTATGTATTTTTATCATTTTTCAAGTGCTATTGTAATAATATAATATCAGGAGCTTTGCATAAATTTTCATGCTTTTTTACCCAACAAGTAAAATTTTATTGATATTTATAGAAAAAAAAACTAAAAACATTTAAAACTGAAAATGTCCGTAAACAGCCTAAAAAGATTTAAAATATTTTCAAAATTATATGGTGTATAGGAAATGCGAATATAAACATTCAGTGAAATTTTCAAGTATCTATAGTCATTCGTTTTTTAATTACAACAAAATTAGAAAATCGTTATATGAGAAATCGAGTGAATATCAAATGTTGTAAAAATATAAATTTCAAACGCTCATAAAAATTTAATTTGAGTTTCTTGTGGACATTTTTTTTTTTGATAAAGGTAAACAAACTTATGATGTATCTTGTATTACATTTTCATATCTCAGATTTAAAAAGAAAAATTTTTTTATGAATTTCTAACTCGAAATAATTTGCAAATTTTCGTCATTTTTACGTATTTTGTCAATATTTGAACTTTTAATGCTTATAACAAAAAACTGTGACTAAGTATTTTTAATATTTTTCAAATGTCAGTGTAACAATATAGTAGGAGCCTTGTGTTAAATTTTCAAGTATTTTTATTCAACAAATAAAGTTTTATTGACATTCATTGAAAAAAAAAACTAATAAAATTTTATCCAAATTTGAACTTATAATGACTGAAAAATATAATTGTGTGTCTGTGTTTATATAATATGTTTTAGATTGTTTGGTTATAGTATGGACTATTTATGAGAACCGTTGTTTAAAATTATCAATCCTTAGCTATAAAAGTTAAACATTTTATAAATTTTCAACTACTAAATTTAGTAAAAATCCAAACTTTAAATACTTAAAAAAAAATCTGCCCTATGGTTCTTCAATATTTTTCAAATTCTGTTATAAAAACTTTTAAGGAACTTTGTATTAAATTTTCAAGCTTTTAGACTTAACGAATAAAATGTTATTGTTACAGTAGGTTAAAAGTGGGTCACTGTAAATGGATGGTATTAAATTTGACTTCATTGATATAATATCATTGTATAAGAAAAACGATTCTGAGCGAAAACGGTTAGTCAGCCTATGATATTACGAAGTATATTTTATAATACTAAGGTGGATAAAGTAATTTAAATATAACCTATTTACTTGGAATCATTAGCTATAAAAGTTGAACATTTTATAAATTTTTAAATACAAAATTATTAATTTTAAATGTGATAAATTGTGTCAACATTTGAACTTTAAAGTTTAAATGCTTATAAAAAAAAATTGTGCCTATGTATTTTTAATATTTTTCAAGTGCTATTATAACAATATAATATCAGGAGCTTTGCATTCAATTCTCACGCTTTTTACCCAACAAATAAAATTTAATTGATATTTATAGAAAAAATATTAAAAAATGAAAATGTCCGTAAACAGCTCAAAATGAGTTAACATATTTCCAAAATTATATGGTGTATAGGAAATACTAATATAAACTTTCAGTGAAATTTTCAATTATCTGCAGTCAATCGTTTTTTAATTATAACAAAATTAGAAAATTGTTACATGAGAAATCGAGTGAATATCAAATGAGGTAAAAATATGAAATTCAAACGCTCACAAAAATTTAATTTGAGTTTCTTGTAGACATTTTTTTTTTTGATAAAGGTAGACAAACTTATGAGGAATCTTGTATTACATTTTCATATATCTTAGATTTAAAAAGAAAAATTTTATGAATTTCTAACTCGAAATAATTTGCAAATTTTCGTCATTTTTACGTATTTTGTCCATACTTGAACTTTTAATGCTTATAACAAAGTACTGTGACTAAGGATTTTTAATATTTTTCATGTGTCTTTGAAACAATATATTAGGAATAACTTCTCATGTTACAAGGTAATAACTATGCGAAGTCTATGTGATTGGTTTTTGAACAGAGGGGAGCCTTCTATTAAATTTTTTAGCTTTTGTACCCAACAAATAAAATTTCATTGATATTTAGATTTTATAGAAACAAAAAACTAAAAAAAATGGAAACTGAAAATGTCCGTAAAGAGCTCAAAATAACTCAAAATATGTGGAAAATTGTATCATGTATAGAAAATGGAAATATAAACAACCAGTGAAATGTTCATGTATATACGTTCATTTGTTTTAGAGAAACAACCAAAACTAAAATCGATTTAGCGTGAAAATTCCCGTTTTCCTTAATTTTTCATATAACTTGCAACCAAGGGCAACCAAGCCCGTATTAAGGGGGGGCCAATGGTGGCACGGTCCCGGGGCCCATTGATTTTGGGGGCCCATCTTCATCCCCAAAATATATTTTTTTAACGCGTCCAATACAGTTAAAAAAATATGTATAAATATTTAAATAGGTAGGTATAGGTAGACAGGTAGTAGGTAAATTATTATTAACACTTAATAAATAATAGTTATAAAATAAAATTGTTCCCAATTTTATATCACGAAAAATTACTATAATGAACTGTGTTGGCAAACACAATTTTGATTATGTTTTTTTTTCTGAGCATTTTCGATTACTGATTTAACTATTCAAGTATATAGGTAGTTATAAGAAAATAATATTTAGCTCTTGTAAATTAGGTATTTTAGTTAAAAGTATTAATGCATATTATACTGAACTTTCGAGGACCATAGCTAATAACCTAGCAAACTAAAATAATTGATCATTTGGCTGTAAAAATGTTCAGACAAAAAGCTTTACCAGAATCCAGAATCCATGAAAAAATATAGTGGTTAGGAGGTACCATTTGAAAAAAATAAAGTCGATTTTATTATTGGTACAAGTGCACAACTGCGTGTTTAAAAATTTTGAAAATGTTATAAAAAAAATGCCTGTAAAAATAAAGAAGCACATCTTTTTTTGTTTTAACGAAATTTCATATCAAATTCCAATTGTTAAAAAAATACCCGCGTACTATGAGATAAGATACACTCTGTATATTTTTTGTAGAGTAAAAAATTCTACAATAATATAAAGTCTTTAATATATTATAATAATACAATTATTTTTAAGTTAAAGTTGAAAGGGGGCCCACTAAGTGAATGGTGTCTCGGCCCAATTGATCCTTAAGCCGGGTTAG